GGATTCCTAAGAATCAAGGTCGTCTACGGCTATGTAATGGCTTTATGAAATTACCAGAGCAAAATAATAATATTTTTTTTAAATCATAAGAAATAAAACGATATGTGTGTTACTAAATACTAATAGAGTATAAGGGATAATCAAAGGAATAACGAAGGAATTATAAAAAGGTAAGGGTAATTAAAAGGGTAAAGGTAATTATTAACTTCGCTTTTGTCTTTCATTTATTTTTGTAGAGTCTTGATGGTGCGGCGTGGTTCAGCGTTGTTGGAGTCTTCGTTGTCGGCCTCTAAGTAGTTCTTCAAATTCGCGTGGAGTAAAGTTGCATTATCGTTATAGTCGTAATCGTCATCTTCATGATGATGGTGACTGTATTTTCCGTCTTAGTCGTCATTTCTCCAGCTTCACGCTCTAAGTTACGTGACTTACGGAATCCCGGTGGTGATCGCGGTGTTATACTGTCCGAAATTCATTGATTCGCAAGAAGATTATAGAGGGAGCCGGTGTATTGCGATTGAATCTGGTAAGTAGCATGGAAGGTGATTCGCATTGTGATATTTGTGTTCTATCGGGATTGTCATCATGAATGGGTCACCATAATGTTGATTCTGATGCTCATTGAAATTTATGGTGCGGCTACGAGCACGTTGTGGTGCTGGTAATGGTTTGATGGTGTCCTCTTGCTTCCCGATGTCGGCCATCGTCTGAAGGATTGGATCTTTGAGCAAGCGTTCAACAAAAGTATCCCGACGACGACGTTTTGAGGCTTGTTGTTGTGGGGACAGCATGTTGGGGCTCAGGGTGTTGGTTGACGACGAGATGGTGTTGGGTAGCGAAGATGAGAGCGGATAGGTGTGAACGCGAGAAATGTCGGGTCTTAGTTGTGGAATTACAAACGCAGGCATCTTCTTTTGTATTGGTGGTGGCGTTCGCGATTTCTCGGGGAAAACTCGCAATCGTGATCATGATCGTGATCATGATTGTGATCACGATTATGACAGCATCTCGGCATTTGATCTTCGGGGCTGTCATCTGAGATAAGCTTTTCATTGTGTTTCGGCTGTTGTGTATGGTTAGTTCTTTCTCTAACCATTTTCGTTTTCTCTTTTTTTTTTTTTTCTTTCCGCGTCGGTGCCTTCTTCGCGGTCTTGTCCCGGTATTTCCAATCGTCGGGGTGGTATATCTCTCATCGGTCGTTTATTACGGTGGGGGCTTGTCGGAGCGTTAGACTTTCCTTGCTGCTCTGACATCTTTGAGAATATATATGCATGCATATATATTCTAGGCGTGCTTATCTTTTGTAGACTTCGTATGATAAACTTTTTTTTTTTTTTCTTCGCGATCGTGATCACGATCATGATGGCATTTCGGCGTTTCCAATCGTCGGTCTTGGTCGTATTCTCTCGTCGTGGTGTAATTCCGGTAAGTTGCGGCGTTTTCTTTCTTTTTGCGGCGTTCTACCGTCGGCTTCTAACTCTCTTACCATCCCTTTCTTTCCCTAGCCCCATGCTCTCGACGTCCAATTCGCCGTCCGCGGGTTCTCCTTGACCCTCGGCGATATCAGCGTCCCTGGCATGAGACACCGGGATCTCGTTATTTTGCCTCTGGTTTCTTCGCCGTTCTCCTCTCAGACGGTCCTCCTTTCTTTAGGGACTCGTCTGGAGCTTCTAAAATAAGAATAAGTTAATAAAATTCTAACATTATCATTTTTTTTACATAAATATCCCTCATAATCAGAAATAGCCGGCTTTAATGACATAATAAGCATAATGAAAGAGATTCTCGCTGACAACATGTCGCTTTTTCAATCGCATTATACTTATTAATGTCTAGATGTTATTAATGACATAATAAGCATAATGAAAGAGATTCTCGCTGACAACATGTCGCTTTTTCAATCGCATTATACTTATTAATGTCTAGATGTTATACTCATCATTTAATCACTATTATATAAAGATTAAAAGTAATATAAATTACCTGGCTAATATTTTGCAATGATTTAAAACGCTGTTTACGTTCTTTATCCATGATGAAGTGGTGAAATTTATCTAGGAAACTGGTTCTTAAAAAGTTGCATAATGGAGCAAAGTTTTCTCCGAGGTAGATATGCACAGCAAAAAAACTTTTCACAAAGAAAATGCATATGCCACGAGTTAGTAACAATCAGAAGCTCACACAATTACGTCATCATAAAAAGTTCCATGATCTTCTGTGTTATAGCATGTGATGTGTTGATCGAACATCCGTGTGTCATTTCGTGATGCAGATATCTTAAGGTTTGAGGTCATATTTGCTAACTCAGGTATGTTGCATTATCTGAATCCACACTCACATCATTTACATTGTTTACATTATCTCGATTACTGACACCCTCATTCTTTCCATTAGTATCTCCGGATGGGTGATGCGAATCGATTCCTTTGATTAATAGTGGATTCACGGCGACTCGTACTTAGAATTGATGACACTTCATAAGTTGGTGGCGGGGTACGGTTACGGAGACGTTTTCTAGTAGATATATTTGTATTATGCAATATGTTGAATGGAGTCTCTATATTTTATATACGAGGCAAATTCATGAGTTATCTATATGGGTAATTATTTTCGAAGGCGAACCGGAAATTTTCTGGTGATCATTTAAGCATTTTTGTGTCATATACAGTATATTTCAAAACTACAAATAAAATTAACAAATAAAATACATATAAATATCATTACAATGTCTCGTGAACTGACGTAATCCTTGAAAAGCGACTGTAAATTAAAAAAGGGGGACCGAACAAGTCCCGGACCAGTCCCGGACTGTAGTCTGAGCATTTTGTTTAAATATCTCCGACAAGTAAAAAAAAATCCGATTAAAGATCGATCGATAACAACCCTAACGTTGATATTGCGTAATTGGCGCACTGCGCCATAATATACCCCTTATGACATAAATATACTGTACAGTTCATTTGCTTTTTTATAATATTACGAGTATTACGCGTATTACGCACAGGTGAAATCTTTCCAAGTTAACGTGTTTATCTCTAATATAAAATGGGTGGGTTTTAATGCTTCTAAAAAAATTAAACCTACATACAGTACCTCTCCTTTCTATGGTTAAAGAAATTCTTGCCTAAGGACTTCGTTTGTTTTTTCTTTTAGATTTAGATCCTTTCCTTTTAAATGTTCTTTGTATGAAAACCCCCCCTTTCTTTATATTACATTTTTTTTTTATTTTGTTGAGTCCGTGGTATATGGGCGAGTGACATGATAGCTTTGTATTTCTGGGTCGTCATGACTATCAGTTTTTAATTGTTAGTTGGCATACTTCCTTGGTACCTTGTCTGCGCATTGCGAAAAAGTCGACCATTATGATTTTTTTTTTCGACTTTTTTATTTAACTCCCTATTATCCTTATTACTTCCCCTTTCATTTATTTCGTCGAGCCCCGTGATGTCCACCGATTCTGGAAGAGGAGTTGGTTAGTTCTCTTTTGAGATGACATTAATAGGGCAAGTGATGTATAGAGACATTATGCAAGTTTTGTAGTAAGAAGATGCCATTCCTCCTCAAAAGATTAGCATCACGGCCTGCAGATTCACGGATCAGTTAAACAACCTATCACACCACTGGATAAGACAATGCCATTCCTTCTCAAAAAGATCAGCATCGCAGCCTGTAGATTTACAAATCAGTTAAATAACCTATCACCATCAAGTATGGCTATGACTCATATAGTTGGTTATATGTCTTTGACAACCTCTCTATACATTGCGAAAAAGTTGAACAATTTTCGCTTGATTTTTTATTTTTTTTAGATTAGTTTTTTTTTTCGGGAGGTTAAATTGGGATAAGATGCACGAATTCAAAAGCATAATTGAAATCTTTTGTAAAGAGCCGCTAAATCCTACATTTGTTCGAAGAAATAAATTTATTTTTGTTTTATTTTGTATCGATAAAGTATTTTTTTAATTATTAATATAAAATTTTGTCGTAATCATTTATCAAATAAATTTATACGAATATTTAATTCTTTGACGTTGACGTTAAAAAAGTTTAATATTAAAATTATACAGAGTTTAAGATGTTACTGCTAAATATTTGTAAATATTCATTACATATAAAGGTTAAATAAATTCGTGTATAGTTATATTTGATATAAAATAAACACGGTAAATTAGATAAGATACTTATTTAGAGGGAAAGCAATATCCTCGCGCAAAGTGGAATTTCTGCACTGCATACAATATATAATATCATAGTGATACGTATAATACAAATAGCTCAGAAAATATAAAATTTTGAAATGGTAATTATTTTTGAAGACAAAATGCTAGATATGATTTTTTCGGCCCTACAATTAGAAAATTTCCGGTCTGCCTTCGAAAATAATTACCCATATATTTATTACTACGGTGATAGATTGTATCATAGATGAACCTACCAGGTCTCTCACAGAAATGAGAATAAAATTCTTCAAAATATCGTTCACCTGCTCTGCTCCTCTTTCCGGTTTACTACCAGCTATGTACTGGCACATCGACTAAAAAAGTTTTAGCGAAGTAAGCATAGCCAATATACAGTAAAAGTACACTCCCCTAGTATAAATTATCGGACGTCGATCAAATTTGAAAAATTAACGAATGAAAAAATTTTTTTTAAATTTTTTTCACAGTTACTTAAATAGGAAATTAAATAAGGTTTATGTTCTTTACATATTTATAAGTTAGGGATTTAGTGGATTTTTTTTTTATTTACTATTTTTTTTGCAATAACTCAAAAATGTAAAGAATTATCTGAAGATAAATATAGTTTGATAGTAAATACTTGGAAGTTTGGTTTCTCACCTTCAATTATTGCAAAAACACTCAATATCATAAGATCAACAGTTTATAATATAATCAGTTACTTTAAAAAGATTGGAAATGTCAAGTCTTCTATCCAAAGTGGAAGATCCCCTAAATTAACATATCATAATATATAATATTTAGTAAGGATTATCAAAAAAAATCATAAAGCAACATTAAATACTATATAAAAGGAATTTGTATAATCAACATCAACTGAAATTTCTACATATATCTTATAATGATATCTTTATAAAGAAGGCTATTATGCTAAAGTTGAAAAAAGAAAATTATTTATTAGTGAAAAAAACAAAAAATTCAGTATAATTGGGCAATTAAATGATTAAATTGGATTTCTGAATGAGATATAATTATTTAAAGTAATAAATTTTGATTTGAAATATATGGAAGTGATGGTCATAATTATACATGTGGCTAAAATTATTTTATAGTTGACGCAATTATTTAAAATTTTTATAGTGATGCAATTAATGTGACGCAAGACGCAATTGTGACGCAATTATATAAATTTGCCGCAATTAAATTACTATGACGCAATTGTGACGCAATCATATGATTTGCCTCAATTGTG